CACCGAGCTCCGTCAGTAGTATGTACATACAGGAACATACGGAAACGTCAATTCTCGTTGCCGTAATACATGAATTTGGTTCGAACTTTCACCAGTGTACAAATGTGTTTGAGTTTTCATTAAACATGGAGTGATTACAGAAGGATTCGCCGCGTTGGTGAAATGTTCACAACGGATAACGTCGTCAACGGCTCGACTTGGCGACATCCGCAAAGATGCAGCAATCCTTGGCGTATTTTTGCATTTTCCAGTGTGTAGATTGCCCATTTCGAGAGGTTCAGATTACTCGTCAACTTGATAAGAAAATCGTACCAGGTTTCTTGACTGTAAAAAAAACTCATAAATCACTAGCAAAGGGGAACCTCTTTACAGCCTGTGTCAGAGTAAAGAGCTTTCAATCCTTTCCTAAGTTCACAGCCAGTTTAAGACCGGCAATGGGTAGGTTAGGAACAAATCAAAGTGATTTCCATGCAGCAAAGCAAGTGAATGCATGGTAGCCTAACTATTATACAGGCAACTGTTAACTTCTATGGAAAACTGTCAACACGGTACAGAAGATGTGATGTCATGCACATCAAAAAAATTCCGTTGCAAATGCTCTTCTCTCTGGCTGTTTGCTGTAAGTGAAAGCTGCAAATAAACTTAATCGACTAAAGCCACCATGTTCAAAGCTCAGTATGTTTTGCATTTTTTGTTCCACATTTTCTTACCATTCTTACAGGGCAGTGAAAATTGTTGCTTTGTCGCTACCGGGTTAAGCGAAGGTGGTGTAGTGGCCTAAGGCGCTCTATCATATGTATATGCGTGGTCATGGATTCAAGTCCCGGGTCGATATCAGCCTAGGTAAACCGAGCCTTCCATCCTTCCGGGGTCGGTAAATCGGTACCAGACTCGTCCGGGGAGATAGAAGCACTGACCTGTACAACGGCTTGCCACCGCAAGGTATGTATAAGCCACATGCGCATTTAACACTCCACAACTATTCTGTTTGGAAGTAGGGTGCGTGGACGCATCACTTAGACGGATTGATCAACGCCCCAAGACATTATCATTATTATTATTTGCTGTCAAGGGTTTTCCATCCAAGGTGGTACAGGCACACTTCTCATACTCCTTCGCAAAAGAAGAACACCACAGCTGGTGGAATTGGATTTTGATTTTGGTTTCCGATGCTGATGATTAAGATGATTGAAGGTGATGGTGTTAAAAAGTGAAAAATGAGAGTTACAAGAAAGAGGGAAGTAAAGTGATTCTGGTTCTTAGTATCCAAAATTCAAGAAACGACAGGAGATGGGGAGAAAGGGTAACAACGAGGACCAACCGTCTGGGCATGATCGGAAAAAAAANAAAAAAAAGTAGGAGGAACTATTTCATTAATGGAGTAGTAAGGTGAATGATGTAATAGAGCAAAAAGTGGGAAGTATTGAGAGAAAAGCAATCATACAAACAATAGGCTATGCTTGACTTTCCTTCAATCCTGGCAAGATTTTTGACCTAAGTATGTGGGGCTAGTTTCTCACAAATTGTCAGATTTAGAAGCAAATAGGCGTGAGTACCAAGAAATCGGAGAGGGGTTCATACCTTGGGTTTTCCTGGTTTATTTGTTAGAGAAAAAATGTTGAAATTGAATTGAATGAAAATGAAAAAATGAAAATATGTTGATATTTTGGGGAGTCAAGTTAAGACACTGACCGGAATGGAAGGTTGTAGGCAATGGTCATAATGAGGAAACATGCACTTAGAAATAGGAAGTTGACGGCCAGACTTTTCTCACGATTGATACGTTTTTCACTGTGAGCTCTCTGAAAAGAAGGTAGCCGATCATTAAGTCTTCATAAAATCTCAGAAACTACTTCATCATGAGCTGTGCCCCCTGTGTCTGTGCCCTCTGTCATTAAGTCTGAGTTCAAGACTCAAAAATGAAAAAGTGACGATTTCCTTTTTCTCGAAGTTCTATGAAAATTTTGTTAAATGTAAAGGCACAGCTCATGATGAAGAAGTTTCTGGGATTCCCTTCTGGAATGAATCTGTGACCCAGAACAATAGGGCTCTTACTACGCCCTGTGGGGCGAAGAACTGTCTAGACAGGGCGCTATTGACAATGGTATCCATGTATAAAGTTCATCAACTTGTCATGACACATAGCAGCAACGGAAGGCAATTCTGTACAGTTTTGGCTAAATGTAGTCAGCTCTTTGCACCACTGCCGCAACTTAAATCTCGTCCAAATACCCCATTCATGTCATTTCTGCCATAGTATCTTGTACGACTTCTACTTTCACGATTTTCAAAGGACCTTATTATACGAAAAATAGACAGAATCACTCGCTTCCTTCGTCACCGATGCGCTACTTCCGGCCGATTCTTTAGCTGTTTGACTTTAAAAGGGTACCTCAAAAGTATCGTGCTGTGCCTTTGGATGAGAGACGCTCAGTTGGCCATTTCGTACAACCCTTTACTTGCTAATCATTTGAAATCTTACACTTGCTGAAGTCCAACAACTTCCGTGTTTTCATCGCCACCTGCACTATTCTGCGCTTTCATTCTTTCAATTAAAGATACCTCACAATTACTGTAAGCTTTGCATTGAAGCACATACTGCCACATGTTAGAATGCCTCTCTCAGCCCAAGCAATATTACGAAGGGAGACGCGGGGTAGAAGCAAACTCTTCAAAGCCAGATGCTTGGGGTAATGATGGGGCTGTGGTGCTCAGGGCCTACTGTATGCCCCAGAAAGAGATTGGGTTGAAATTTATGAAAAGTATACTGATTTACCGTTCCCATCACTGTATCAGCAGTGGGAAGAGAAGAAACCATGTGTTCTTTCCTCACAGCAATTCGAAGCACACGAATCTTCCAAATAATGGCTATGTCGACGCCAGCCACCACAAGTGCGCAGATTGTCTGTAATTCATCAAAATGAGGCCGTGAGTGAGTAACGAACCTTTCGTGTGAGAAAACCTCTAAACCGGTGCATCTTTTAATTTATTTATCTAGTGGGAAAAAAATCTGTACATGCCTGCAAAACCAGGTTCCAAATCCACCATATGTGTGAGTACGGTTTGCTCATGTCAAAAAACCAATTGTGACTTTGAACAACATAGGAATAACCACAGCATGATGTATACATCGGCACTGAAATAATGTCCATCAAAGGAGTGAAACGGTCTTCGCGAGGTGCTGCTACAAAAATAAAAAAAGAATACCTGAGAGTAGGATACTAATAAGGACGACAAAAAGGTTGATCATATGCATGTGTCGTGACGAAATTGCACGAAAATTCGCTGGGAAAAAAGCGGCTATGAAATGAAGGACAGAGAGCACCAATAAGGCGAACAGTTGACAATACCATTGCACAACGATGAAGAGGGTCGAAAGGTAGGCTTGCTGTGGGGCTGAAACGTAATTAGTATCACTGTTGCAGAAATTGCTAACAGGAACCCCACTTAAGCATGGTACTCGAGGTCTTCAAATTTAGTCAAATGTTCTGTGTGATATTTTGAAATTGCCTTCACAATCATGGCCTGTGAAAGACATCCTTTCCCGTATAGGTAGGAGGAAATGTTTGCAAATTTGCTCGAAAGCAGCATCAAGTCAACAGCTCTATCTCTGAAAGATAGCGCTCTGCACAAAGGGAGAAAAGAGCAGCAGAAAGCATTCTTGTTTCATAGAAAAAAGAATAAGGTCTTCGAACTGTAATTAATCCGTCGGATCCGTCGGAAGGATGCGCCCCGCACTCGACTTCCATTCAAATTCGTAGTAGCGTATTGAATGGTGCGTGGCGGATGATACGACCTGCGGTGGCCAGTCGATATACAAGCTAGTGCTTTCATCCTCCCAGACGAGTCTGATGCCAATTACTCGATCCCGGAGCATTGAAAGACGCGGTTGGCTCGGACGAATATCGATCCAGGATTCGAACCCGTGGTCATGTTTGTGCGCTGAAAGTGCGCTTCTTGCCACAGGACCACCTTCCCTTTGTTCAATATATATGGATCGTCTATGTTTGGAAAAAGATTATTTTAGTTACTCAACGATCAGGGTCGACTGACATTTTTGAATGAATATATATTGCTTCTATTATAGATCCAAAACTTCTAAGTGAAAGGAATAACTCGGTACAACGTTTCCTGACCTCTTGCGGTTTCCGCAGTAATAATGATCTATTAAATAATTATGTTTCCAACTAGCCGAGCTAAACCCACATGTTTCCGACCACTCTTTCTTGAAAACTGCTCCGAGTTTTCACAGTACGAAGTCCTTTTTTAAGAAAAAGAAATGAGGAGGAAGTTTTTGTGATTTTCTCCAAATGTGAGGGAATCATTTTTCAGCTTACTTTTGAAAAGGTCTTTATCCATGAAAAAACTCGGGACATCGTGAATTATTGTGTTGCAATACACAACAATGTCCAGGCTCATACATAGAAAAATTGTCCACAGAATAAGCTTTTCAGCGATTTCCTTCGTTTTGATGGCCATAAATATGACGGCTACATCTATAACGATGATCACGGTGTTGAGAGCAGTGTTGGCCACGTATAGAGTGGCATCCATCCCTAAAGTCTGAACTGATAGCAAATAAATATACCAAATAAAAAAATCAAGTAACTCAGATGTAGCAAGGAAGCGATAGGAAACGCATTTACTCAGACACAGTTATGGCGTGTTGAATATTTTGTACTGTGACATGAAGCCGGAAGGAACACTTTGGCACAAAAGTCTCCTATTAACTATAAAAACTTATCTCAAAAACCTTCATAAGGACGAGTTGCTTAGGTGATAGACAGACTGATCAAAAATTGCTTTTCTTCCACCAACAGCTTGACCAGAAATTTTTTTAGGCACAGCGCGTTCATTAAACTAGTTCATAGGAATATGTCTCTGATTAGATGTCTGAGACAAGAACAGTACCTTTACATTCATAAGAAAATCTCAGAATATGTAAAACAAATATAATATTTCAGGTGCAATTCATGATAGAAATTTTCGAGATATCCTTAAAAAATGTCTATGGAATCACTTATAGCATATGAGATAGAGTCGAATGGGAAAATGGCTAAGGTGGGACGTTGTGGAAGCTTAGCGATTTTACCGTGCGCCACACCCACCGTTGGCCAGAATCTGAAAAGCTTAGCTTTGCACCACTGTCCGCATTGGCGCAATTTCGTTGACAGTGTGATCGTCGTAGAGAGTTATTATATCTCGGACTATTGTCCCATTCTACTGCTACAAATACTCATAGGGACAAGAGCAGGTTTCCGCATGGTACAAGTACGGGTTTGAGTTCCGTCCGATGGCGAAAATTTGTCCATAACTAGCCAACTTTGGAGACTTTCGTATCGCGCACTGCTGTGGAAATACATCACCTAACTAAATATCGAGTGAACCCAAAGTATAACAAGAAAAGCTTCCAGTTTAACAGTTCAGTGCTGAGTGCTTTTACGTAGGAGTGCAGTTGAGCTGTCATATAAGCCTTAAGAAGGGAGGGTAAGTGGAGTCTCGGCAATGTGAGGGATAATAGCACGTTGCCCGGATAGCACATGTGCGGGTTCGAATCCATCGGAGGACGGAGTTTTGTCTGTATCTCGCCAACCTTATAAGCTACAAACATTGTTCTGAGTAACTGTTTAGGAAGAGAAGCAATGAATAAGAGAGTAGTGCAGAGAAAAACCAAAAATGCCCGACCCACAGCGGACCGGAAGGCAATTTTAGACATTTTCTGTTTACTGCGGCCAGCTGTATGCAATGGCCCACACATTTGGACAGCTCGTCCAAATATTGCTGCCATACAATTTATTTTGGGACAGAATATTGGTGCAGCAAATTGCAGCATAGATACTTGCATGATTTCCCTGTATCGAAATCACGATGTTCTTATAAGCAGCTTCAACTTAATACTTCGTCGAAATTTCGAGTACACGCTCTATGTCTTCATGATGAAGCAAGAATCGTCCAGATCGCTGCCAACTTCGCCCTGTGGTTTGCCCGCACTAATGTAACCATACTCAACTTTGTGATCATATTCTCGCCAAACCCCAGTTTTACCACTTTTTAATGCGTGACATTTCTCTACATCTGCCTAATTTCCCGTTTTCTCCGCTCTTGCACTATTCTCGACTATTGCTTCCATTACGCCTATATCCACCTACCTCAAAATTATCGTGAACTGTGACTCTAACTCATGCATCCACCTTAACTGCCTGCTGTTGAGAATTATGGGCAAAACCTGCAAGTATGTCTGCACATGTTATGATTTTTTTACGCTGAAGTGAAAACTGCGATCAAAAGAACCTAAGTGTTTCTATCCATGACACGAGCTCTGTTATTTGGTGCTCTCATTTTATTCGGGACATCACAATTTGTGCTCAGGTTAATTTCAAAACTGTCTTGGAAAGGTGGACAGTAACCTCCTACAAATAGAAAATTCGGACAAATGATAATTCTTAGAAACAACAAAGGAGAGGAACAGATGTTCCATAGCAACGAATGAGAGACTGGCAAGTAAGGCAAGTACCGCCCAAAATTCGGTACTCTGACGTGACTCCGCCTGCACGGATTACGGTCCCTTATTGAAAGACCGCTAGTGCATCCCCCTTCTTCATTGTTTCTTTCACTTCACTATCCCATTCCGAATACTCATGAAGAGCTGACATTTTCCTAGGTTATCCAAGGAAAACCGTGAGCCTGAAGTCCGTATAGTAAAGCCTTTAAAACGCATTATGGCGACAATTCCTGAACACATGCGACAGGGAATCAGCACCTGCTGAATTCCTTCACCTTAAAAATGAGCTTACAGCAGGGATTTCGAAGATTTGATGACTTGAAGGGATCGAGGATCAAGAGAATGACAATCAAAGGGCGCATGAGATAGCATTCAATGTTGCCTCCATTCCTCTCTTCTGCTATGGCCTAAATGGAATACCGAGATATTCCTTCTTTTTTAGAATGGCTGCATTATATAGACAATTTGCAGATTTTTGGCCAAACTGGGAAAAAAGCGCCTGGTTGAGAGCTGCATTTAGTGCTTGGGAAAATCGATCTGCACAACCAGACTTTTCGCCACTCGTTGTTGGCACTCTAAATCAGTCCTAGTTGAAAATAAAAACGGTACAACTACTCTCCACATTCTCATGAGTAAGATAACAGAGAACGTGTTTATCTGTCTTCACAACTGTGCCTCTGAATAGAATGAGCCAGCTTCAGCGGTTTGATGGAGTAGAATGCACTTCCACTCAATCCCGAAAATTCCATGGTGACTTATGCTAGATGGGTGTTTGTGCTGTTCTATGTTGGTACGTGATCCTACAATCATAAATTTCAGGTCCATACAGAATAGTACAAGCATTTACAAAAAAATCTTGCATTGTCTGTTGGTCAGTGTGAGCTCAGAAGTACAAATCCATCAGCCATATCACTTTGATTGTTGGACTACTTTTCCATCAACGAGTGAATTCTATAGCGCAAAGCTCCATGTGCAATGGAAGAGGTAGGCCGTAGTGAGGTCACGATCATGCCAGAAGTATAGGAAGTCACATAGTGTTGCTTACACCACATTTTTCTGATTTTACAATGGTGTACAAAGGTAAATATGCTTGCATCAAACACGTGAAAAAAAAAGAATCATCGCGCCGGCGTAACTGTGATAACGGATGACGTTGTCGTTGACGACTTCATCAGACGACGTCTACAGAGGCTCAAACGTCCTATCTTATCTTCGCGTCCTCTAATGGATAAATTACTTACTTCTAGGGGTCCAAATTAGATGTCAATCCGATGGGAATTCGTTCTAAGCTCCTCGTCAGTGGAATCAACCAAACGAAAACTGAACTCCTGAAATTGATTTAGGTGAACTAATTGTAATATATCTGACTCAATAAAAGAAACTTTTCTCGCAATCGCAATGCTATAAAAAGCTCCAATATTTTGAATGTCGCTATGATGTGTGTTTAAATTGTCTTTCCTACTCTATGCGTTTCCTCATTTTCACAAATCAGTATGATTCTTGACAACAACAAAAACCATTTTGCACGTAATGAAGAAAGGGGACGCATGATCGCTCAACTAAAACCAATTAATGCCGAAGAAAATTATGAATAGAGCTGCAAACAACAGTGTATTATGAAAAGCAAGCAGGCACAGAAGGTGTGCGCATGGTATAAATGATGAATTATAAAGTCTCCGAGCTTTGATCAATTACAATACAATAAACGCACCCTCGCATTCGACTTCCATCCAAAACCGCGGTGACGAATCGAATGTGTGTGTAGCCATTACATTGAATTTGTACCGAGGAACAATGTTAATCGTCAACTGGTCCACAACAGGCTTTAACCGCGCATGTACTACAAATAACTGCGTTACTTGTTCGCGTGGAGACTGCCTACAACCGTGAGTAGACATAAAATTTAGTGTCCACTCTACAACGAAATGAACATTGGTGGGACGTGCTGAATGCTAGGCATTCGCGCCTAAGAGCTACACGCCCACGCCCACAAGGTACAAGGTATAAAAGCCCTCACAACAGTTGGGATGCACCTATCGCAAGAACATCAAGGCGATGATTTGATTATTAGATGCAAGATATTAGCCCATAAAAATGAAAACTCTGCTGAGAAGATATTGGAAGTGTTACATATCTGCAAACTCAGCCTAGAGCATAACAACAGAGAACAACTTTAAGATTACCGCGGTTTCGCCGTTACAAACGCGTATGGCTAAGCAGTATATTAATTGTGCAGATGCCCTATTTCAAAGAGACCGAACATGGAAATGATCCTTTTCATTGTTATATCACAGAGGAAGTGAAAGACCATAGTGAAACTACAATTTCTTTTCCGCTTTCCTACTACTCCCTCGACTGGTGTCTCACTCTTACAGAAATTCACTTACTTCTTCCGAAACCACTCAAAGCCTTTATAACATTAATTCAGAATTTTTTCTGTGATAGCTAAGCTTCAGACTCATGGAACAATCCTACAGTAAATTTCAGAGTCAGATATATAGAAAAGTGCACTTCGAAAAACTCTCCATAGGTTCTTTGGCCTGACTTTTGAGCAAACATTCTAGGCGTGTGTTTTTATCTTTAACCACACCGCTTCCAGAACTTGATGAATGATAGAATAGCCTGAGATACAAGAAACACTCTATCCCTATGAGCAGATTCAATTCCATAAGTATAGAACTCTACATAACAAAAGAAAATGCATATGAAGAGTTGGTTTGTTGGCCCTACAAACCGGGAAATTCCTACATAGCGCAACTATTTTCATTGTTGGTAATGTAGGGAGGTCAATATGCTTGCACTAAACACGTGTAACTAAAAATAAATTATCGTGCCGGCCCGACTGTAATAGCTGACGATGGCCTTAACAATTCGACTAGGCGACATCTGCAGAGATTCAAAACTCATTGACGTATCTTCACGTTTTCTTGTGTATAGATTGCCTATTTCGAGAGGTTGGAATTAGACGTCAACTTAAAAAGAAAGTCGCACCAAGTTCCTTTCCTGTAAAACGCTATTCGGAAAACAAGTGGGGAAACTTCGTGCAATTATG